CAAGTCTGAATAGTGGGTCTGTTTTGAGTATATTTTTAAGCCAAGAAATGCTCATACATAGATAATTTAGCTTAAAGAGCCAAATTATGCTTGTTTAACATAATAACAATATATCATTAAGCATATTTAAGAAGATAAAGGTTGCATTTACTTCCTTACCGTTCACATCTAACATGAAAGAGTTTTAAATCTGTGATATATCCAATTTTTCACATTTATTCCATTTTCTATCTAACAATGTAAGCTTGAGGAAAGAAAATAAAAAGATCACCTTCCATCCCCAGCTTTGTACTGTGATTAAACACTGCCAAGGAGCTTTACCTTGACCTATAAATTTTCTCTCCGATGCAGAAGTCTGTTGTTAGACTGTTTCCTTAAGCTTTTATTCCCTAATGACATCATTTGTATTTCCTAGAGAGAACATTTTTTAAAGTATTCCTCAGTATTAAAGGTTATTAATATCTCTACTTTCCTGTCCTCACCTATATGCATGAACATCTCTGATATGTGTGGGGGTGGGGTAAGAAGAGAGGGTGGGCTCTTGGTTTTGAGTCATCATCTCAAGTGTTAAGAATTGCTTATGTAAAAGAATTTTTTTTTATTAATATTTACTTCAAATGCTATCTTCCTTATCTCCAGGCCATTTCCTTGTCTACATGGAGATTTAGAATAATTTCCTTCCTACATTACATTTTGTTCCTTGAAGGTATTTTATAATCAGAGTGTATGTTCCTCTCTCTCTGAGGTTTCCTTGTTTCAGGCAAAATACATTAAGTCTCTCTAGTCTAATCTTCTGGATCTTGTGTTATGCTTTTTGTCCCTTGTATATTCTCAGCGTCGAGGTATGAAAGGAGTAAAATATTCTAAGTTGGAACTTAGGGATAAAAATCAGGATAGCAGTTTTCCTCATTTTACTCTGGATCAAGAGTTCCTTTAATACATTGTAAAGACTTGGATATTTAGAAGCCTAGATGATGCAGATTATAAAAATAGAACATTGCGATTTTATGTATGTGATTTAATCACTTATAAAAATTACCAAATTGCTACCTCTTTGACTTACATAACGCTATCATTATAAATGTTTGTCTCATTATATGCTATAGCAGGACTTGTAAATGTTTTGCAAGTCTTCTGTTATCCAAGAGAGACCTTCATTTTAACTATTTTTTACTTTACTGCTTGTGTTTTCTTTCTCATCTTCAAAGTCTACATCTCTTTTTATTAATGTCATCATGTTTTGATTTGAAATGTCAGTGTTTAATCTTTAATACCTCTTCATGCGAATATATTTTTTCTTGCAAATATATTTAATATGGATTCATAAAAATTCAATTAGCACATTTTTACTAAAGAAAAATAAAACAAAAAAAAGAGCATGTTTTACTAGACAGGTTTAATTTTTTTTAAGAATTATTTATTTATGCATACAGAACCAGGGTACAGGCCAGAGGTGCAGAAGCCATGACAGGATTCACCAAAGACAGAGTGGGGAGCAGAACAGACAGATCAACGAAGCACACTGCTGAGGGGAGCAGCCTGCAGGTCAGAAGAGGTCTGCCAAGTCATGTGGAACACCACCGGGGATGGGGATCAAACTCATGCTAAAGTGGCTTTAGCTTCTTAGTTCTGTGCTTTAACCCACTGCGCCACCAGGGAGGGGTTTTAATTTTTAAATGTTCTTTAATTATTTATTACATTCAAATGGTTTAAAAGTTTGGCTTTCCTGTCAGCTCATGTACTTGATTTTTTTTTAAATGCTCAGAAAGATTTTTTAATAAATACAGGCTAAGTTGTTATAAAATGTTTTAAGAAGCCAGAGAGCCTAGAAAAGTCAAACAATTTTGAAAACAAAACATAAGATGGAAATAGTCATTCTATATAATATTAAGGTTTATTATGCGTTTATAGTCATCAAGATGGTGTGTCATTAGAAGAGAAATAGAGACTTAGGTCAATGAAACATAATAGAGAATCCAGGAATAGA